CAGGACCCCCACCCCACCCCCCTGGGATTTCCACCCTTGGAGCCAATGAAGAATTAAGGCAATCTTTTCAGCTATCAATAACTTCTTGCACTACTTAAAGACTGTAGTTTGCCATTATTTTTTGCTTTTGATGCTATTTCACCAGTTACTATTCTCTACCAGGGCTCTAATTTCCATTTATTTGGCTATCACAGTTCTCAGAAGATTAACTGGTCAACACAATGACTGATCACACACACACACACACAMACAACTGTAAAAATTGTAGAGAACAGTTTATTAAATTTAGACTTATAAGAAGTCATATTCTAACGCACTCCATCGCTTGAAGCGCTTATTATAATACCAACCCACAAAGGATTGATCACGGCATCAAAACATAAATAAATCAAATGAACATATGTACATTTAAACATGGTCAGAAAAACTGGATTTGTGCAGAAATCCCACTCCATGTCTACCCAGAGGCATGAGATACTGAAAGGAAGTGTCTTTTGATGGGAACTACCCTCTGGGAAAGTCTACTAGAAGCAGAAAAAAAGCCTGTTGTGTAATCTCTTTCTTGATTTGATTAGTAAAAGGAATATCCGTAGAATTTCTAATACATATGAAAACATTGCTGTATTCTGTAATAACGGTAAAAATTGGTGTCGTTAACGGTTTTTATTTTCCATCCACCAGCATGTGTTTGTTGCATAATTCACTCTGGGATTGATGCTTTGAGAGGAGCAGGACAAGAAATGTTTCCCAATAAGTCAAGTTCATTTGTTAAGAAATATTTAACCTGAATACAATTAAAAGGAGAGTCTGGTCATTTTTGAAGGGATGCTCTGTCAAACAGTTATCAAGTGTTGATCTTATGAGCCACACAGAACAGAGTATGAAGAAAATGGCTAGGCTAACCAAACAAGGGCCCATTTTTTATTGTTACTCAGCCTTATWAAACAACTCTCTCAGAAATATCACACTGGTGTGAAAAAACGCAACAAGCTGGTTCCAGTTTAWGTTTTATGTCCCGCCCCCACCATGTAAACAAAAGGAACATTGCCTTTGCTGAAACAAAACACCTCACATGTGGACAATTGTTTGTATAGCTTGTATATAAAACCTCTAGACTTTCACCTGACACAGTATATTTAACCGAACGTGTGTGTTACTCTGCAAATGTCAGTCTGCTGAACTAATCAGTCTACCTGATTAGCATGTCTGGTTGATAGAYTATATTTAGACCAGAGTTGCCCAATCCTGGTCCTCATCGGCCACTACCCTCCATGTTTTAGTTGTCCAGCATGGTGTTGATTTCTACAGGAGACTGTCAATCACTCGTTCCTTTAGAGCAGGGGTGGGCAACCCTGGTCCTCGAGGGCCGCAGCCCAGCAGGTTTTATGATTTTCCCTGCTCCAACACACCTGATT